GTGTGAGAAAGGCCAAGTCCAACTGACTAGGGTAAAGTTATACAAAGTCCAGTTATATTATTAGATTATCTGTATACTCAAGTTGACCATTAAAGCTGTCAAACCAATTTAAGGCATTTATCAGGTGAAGGGTATCGATTTCAATGGTTATGCAAGTTAATACTATTGAACCTTAACACTACATTACATTAAGCCCGGCTCAACGTTAAGCCCGGCTTAACTTTGCCGAGCGTTCAGACTAGCGGGATTAGCCAGGCGCGAGAATTAGCATAATGAACCGTAACCAGGAAATATTGCGCTTGAAACGTAGGCCTACACCCACTCACAAAACACGCAATTGAATGCTGATTGGTCATTTTTTTTACCTGGCGTGCCACCGTGTTTAACTTTCTAAGCCGGGCTTTAATCGTTGCGGGGGGGGGGTGGGGTCTTGCATTGACTTCGGATGACGAAATGACCAATCAGCATTCAATTACGTACGCTGTGAGCGAGCGTACGTTTCGCGAGCAATGTTTAGAAACAGTTTCCTGGTTCCGGTTCATTATTATGCAAATTCTCGCCTGGCTAAACCCGCTAGTCTGAACGCCTGGCAAAGTTAAGCCGGGCTTAACGTTGAGCCGGACTTAACTCAAGCCTGGCTTATCTCCAAGTCTAAACGTAGCCGGTGGCACGCCAAGCCTAGTTACTATAGGAACATAGCCCGGCTTGAGATAAGCCACCTAGTTCAGACTGGCAGGTGGATAAACCAGGTGAGTTGAGCCGGGTTTACCCACCTAGTCTGAACTAGGCCTAAATAGTTTTAAGGATGTCTTTATATTAGCTTTTTGGCTTTTATTTATTCTCTTGTGTAATTTTGTGATTTCCAAATTGATAGGACTAAATTCATTTCTTTTTTTATAGCAAACTAATAATTTATATTTTAAGGTAGACCTACTTGATAATTTGATGTTTTTTTCAGTTTTTGTTATTATATACTTTATTTGAAAACAACACCTTTAAGATCAGTGGTACTCACAACCATTGCGGTGCGTTCAAAATGGTAAAAAGCTAGTAAAATTATAATTGATGCATACAGGTTATGCACAGCATAACAAAAGGTAACAGTCAATAAAATTCAAATTTTAGAATAACAAGTCGTTTTCACCATGAAAATACGTACCACACACCACAAGGATTGACAAAAATGCAAATGATACTTAGGATAGGCCCTACTAATTTACATACAACGACATACAAATTTTAGATTTTTAAAATCATGCTCGTCTTGTGCGGATCGTACGTAACACGCGAATTTACTACTGCAATGAAGATAAAATGTTAGTATGAATGAACGCTATTTTAAATACGGAAAAATAAGATTTTGATGGACATTTAAAAACTATTATTATTTGGAAGATTACCGTAGCCTTGTATTTGGCCTCGTTTTTAGCCAACTATTTGCTGTATCAGGACCAGAAAAAGCAGAAAAAAGGTAGGAATTCAGACCATGAAACAGGGGGTCGTCTTACTCCCGCCATACAACAGTAGTCGTATCGCGGGTCGTCTTATACGCGAGTGTATTATACGGTACCTCTCAAATGGTAAACGTTTAAAAGACCGACAACTAATAAATGTTCAAACTAAATGTAAGTGATGCAAGCGCACATATATTTTTTCTGCTGTTACTGCGGCTATATTGCTCTCTTACTGATATGTCCTTCACTCTTATTGAGCAATTATGGTTTCTTCGTGCACTATCCGTTTCTCCTAGCTGAGCTATAATTTGTCTCCCTTAATGGTATCCGGCTCACTCATTGAGCTCTTTTGGTCTATTCCTATGTTATTTTTTTGTCTTGCTGACTCTCTTTCCCTGATTTATATTAATTCGATTCAACGAATCTATCTCCAAGCCTCCTTTTCGTTTCTCCTATATAAACCTTATTACATTTAACACAAATAATAGCATATATAACATTACTAGAGGTACATGTATATTTCTCTCGAATAGAAAAATTACTGGAAGGTCCTACGATAGTATCCATACATACAACATGCTTACATGTCTTACATCTACTTCTATTACGCCTAGTCATGCCTACATTATCTGCTGCATGTATTGCTTTCAATCTTGACTTAACTAACTGGTCCTTCAAGCTACGATCACGTTTATAAGAAATCATAGGAGGCTTCTTAAAAATGTCTTTGGTGGCTGGGTCTGATTCCAAAATATAATGATTGTCTGTTATAATCTTAGCAATCTTCTTAGAGGTAGGATGGTAAGTTAAAACCAGAGGCGTGCGTTGTGTGGTGTCACGTACTGTTGGATTCAATGCTTCCTCATGAGTAACAGTATGCACTTTCTCCAATGATTTACTACTGATGTCAATGGGATATCCGCATTGATTGAATTTCTTGTTTTTTGATTTTCTTGGGTTTTTTGATTTAAAGTCCTCGTCATTACTACATATTCTTCTGAGTCTCAGAAATTGTGAATATGGTATGGCCTGTTTGCACGATGGTGGATGCGAAGAAGCGTAATTGAGGTAAGTATGAGCATCCCTAGATTTATAATGCACTGATGTAGTGAGCCGTAATTCCTTAATAGATAATTTAATATCTAAGAAAGCCATCGAATTCGAGGAAATTTCATAAGTGAAGTCAATAGCTGGGTGAAAATTGTTAGCGAAATTAATAAATCCATGTAATTTTTCAATGCTCCCACTGGTAACCCCTATGCAGTCATCAATATAACGTTTAAATAGTTCGGGTTTAGGTCCTTTGAATTGTGCCAGGATTTGGTGTTCGAGATGACCCATGAAGAGACATGCAAACGATGGTGCCATTTTGCTACCCATGCTAACTCCAGACATTTTTAGTCGCACTTAGATATTTTTTGGAGAAAGACGGTAACAAACCCCGTATATGCTCAGTGGACACTATAATTCGGCTTTCAGAACTGGTCTTATGTACTACAGCATTTGCCTTTAACCATAAACATTATAAATATTAAATATTATAATTGGTCTTGCGGTAATCCTTTATTCATACGATTTGTACGATTACACAAAGTAGAAATGTACTGTATACTTTGACATCATATTTTTATTCGAATATTTCGAGCACTCCTTTGCTCTTCCTCAGACTAAGACGTATATGTGATATATAGACAGGATGACAAGATAAAGCTAAGTAAAACAGGTTGTCATCTCGCTTGATGAAATTTATTTATACATGTTTCGGGCACAGTCCATCATCATGTACATAAAGCTGTAACATAGAATAGGTACACATATAGTACGGTAATAGGTAAACAAACAATATCACATAATTAACCAACCATAGTAGGAGAAATAAAAACAAAAGACCTATAAATCACAAGAGCTACTATAACACGCACACCCTAGAGGGTGTGTATTTGTATATTAGAGAATCACAAAAAATAATACCATAGCTAAATAAAAAAGATGATATCCAGCAATGACAGATAAAACTACAAAAATATACTATAGTAAATATGAACCAAATAGGCAATACTGTGGTCATTAATAAAATCTAAGGCAAAGGCACAGGCAAAGTACTCATAAAGAAATAATGCTGTAGAAATAAGAATAAAATATATTAGATAAATAGATGTTTCTTGTTTGTTGGTTAATCATTGTCCTCGTCTTGCCGTGGAAACTCAGTGTATGATAAGTCGAAACCCGGTAACATACGTCGAAGAGGTTTGGTGCAAACTAATATTAATATCGCCATTAGCAACATCAGGGCAATTATGATGAACGTCAAATGGTAAGAGCCAAATAAACCCCGAAGTTCGCCTGAAAAAGAAAACAATATTAAAACTGTAATTAAAATTGTATATTAACTGTCATACCCTCGTAAACCTAATTAGGACTATATTAGATATCTTCGGGTCTTATTTGGAACACTGTTTTGATTGTTCGTTTATTTAGAAAAAAAATGTTCCACACACAAATCAGATGAATAATAAAAGATATTCTCAGATAAATTTGGAAATACATAAAGCAAAGTGCGTGGATAAAGACAAAAAAATAACTTTACGACATGTCCACCAGTTTAAAATTAGAACAAAATGAAATGGCGAATCAAGTACCATTACATTAAAAAGAAAACAGGTAGGCCAATACAGGTCTGGTTTAAAACAAAATTAAAGATATTCGTCAAAAATATCAGTAAGGGTCTACTGGGGGCCCTTTTTCCCAACCTAAATGCTCCTATCGCTCATATTTCCCCTTACCCTATCGGGGGGATTCAGCTCCTCATTGGTAGGGCAGGTCATAGCGCAATCATACGTTACCAAAGTTTATTGTCTTGTAATGCTACGGATCAATGCCGTAAGATATGCATACTTTCCTATCACTTAAACTATCTTCTGCATTTTTATATATCGTTAAAAAATCATGATATATAAATTCCAAGCACTAACATCAAACATTATAACATTCTTTACGCTCGATAAGCATATATGCACATTGATTTTAAGCGCAATTGTGATAATTATGCATTTTCATACCAATAACTATTCCAAAGCATAGATTGAGTAATCCAATGAAGGTTGTATTAACACCAAGAATTACTTCGAAGTCATTCCCGATTGAAAGATACCATATAATGACAGTCACTGAAGGCAATACAAATCCAAGTGAAAACCCGAACATAAATGACGATCCTACTAATAATCCGAAATCTTGCACAAATGCGAATACGACCAGACTCGTTGCAGCTAAACATAGACCAGCCAACAATTGCGCCATTGATTTGTTCTTTACAAAGTAAGTAAAGACTATCTGTACACATCGACCTCCAATATTTCCGAATCCGTATACGCTAATGAGTGAAGCTGCGACAAGAGAATCTATTCCAAGCTCAAGTGCGTACGGTACAGCAAAAGTTATCCATGTTATGTAGGGTATATAAAAAAACGCATATACAAACATGTATGGAAGTAATCCAGGAACCGCTACAATATCTTTAATATTTGTAGTTTTTAATGTGATATGTTTTCTTCGGTGATGACCAGTTGGGCGAAACAGTATAGCAGCAATATACATATGCAGACAAAAGCCAGCTAATATCAAATAGGCACCTCTATATCCAAAATGTTCAATTTCTAACTGAAAGAAAGAAAAGAGAAACCTAAATACGGTCATACATGCCATCACGTTATGAACATAATATGGCACATTGGGCTATGTACATTCAACAGTTTTTGTAAACAAATGATAATATTGACAAAGCTTTAGGTCACTAATAAAAATCCTACCGAAAAGATTGTATTGAAAGGAAATGCGCAAATTAGGCCAAAAGGGAGCATCACTTTATTATTGAATTACAATTTCTTTGAATTTTGAACAAGACCAATTGAATTTAAAAGACAGACGAATACAAAGAACTGAAACCGTTTTGTTTATTACAATCATCGAATGATGACAAGATATAAACTCACGTCAAATAACATTGGGAAGACGATTGAAGCAATTCCGACAAATGTAGAGGCAATACTGTTTGCTAATTCGAATTCTTTCTTAAAGTGCACACCTAAAACGGTCAGACCAACATTATAGCAGCTGCTAATTCCAAAACCTGTTTCAAAATTTAATAATATAATTATAATAGTAATAAATATACATTTATAATACGTGAGCTGTTGTGACAAAAAGAGTCTTCTGAAACAAACAAAATGAAAAATGAGTTATTGATATAATTATTTAAACAGATGAATATAGAAGGTTTTTTTGGTCTTTGAATCAGGTTTCTAAGTTGAGTAAAACGGAGGTAAGATCAGATGTCTCTGGCCACTTACTGCACTCGACTCGACGGTCGTCGGCCGACGCGATGTTATGAAAAACGCAACGCCACAACGCGCGGGCAACAAATCGTTTTTACTGACGATCCGTTTACACGGGAACCGACAATCAGCAGACGGCGTCGCGTCATTTAGTGCTCACAGGGAGCAGAGTTCATAGCCGTCGGAAGCATTTTAAAAGTTGTCCGACCAGGATTTTGAAGGCGTCTTGCGAGGTACGAGGTACCGAGCAGGGTGGATTTGGGAGGGTGTGTCCCCCTCTCTTCCGCTTGAGCCGCCAAGGGCCCCGGTGGTAGCGCATTTTGAACGTTTTTAGGACTGTTTTAGAGATTGTGGACATTTAAATGAATCTTGCTACGATATATTTCTACCAGAGCTGTGCACGCTTCTGGACTATAAATCGTCACAAACATTTTGTCTTGGTCCTTACTCAAATTACTATATGATGGTAATAATAATTTGGTGAACCAATGCACAGCGCTCATAGAATTATATTCATTGGCAGATCTGGGGGTGGGGCGGTGGTGTCAGGGTTTGTTGAGATCATTGTGTTTCGTCAATAGCCTTCTTTTCAAGAATACAGTAACTGCACTACACATTATGTGTCGCCAGGTTCCGTCTACGTGTTTTGTTCCGTTCAATGTGATTCGTTAATAGCATTATTTTCTTTACAGGGGTAATAACAAATTGGTGAACCATAACCATTTACTGACTTCTGTTAAACTGGGATGACACAATGTTGGGGCATGGGTCATGACGCAACCCGACTAGTGGTGTAAGTATTTAAAATTTTGAAATTGCCAAAAAAATCCCTTTCAAATAGACTATAACGAAATATACTTTCAACTCATTGGAGATTATTTGTTCGGCTTGTGATATCAACTCTAAAAATAATTTGGCCCTTCAAACAAATTAATTAAGAAACAAATTAATTAAGAACCATATATATATATATATATATATATATATAAATTAAAATTAAAATTAATTTAAATTTAATAAATGCATATGTATTCTTATCGGTATATATTTATTTGAAAAACAAATAGAATTGGGAGAAAGTGATCTGGCCAAAACCGGTGTGGTTCCGACGGCCCTGTGAGTTGTTTTCGTCGTATGCAGTGAGTGCCGAGCATTATCAACATACTTATATCGCCTCCAAAGATAAATAACTGATTTTTTTTTTATATCATTTCTGAAAAATACTTTAACAAATGTGCCTTAAGATACACCTTCACCTTAGGTAACTTAACTCAGATCTTTTGCTATTATGAAATATACATAGGCCTAATAATTTTTGTCAAAATACCAATTTCAAATCAAAATCTCGTTATTTGCAACAAGATGAACATTGTTGAATTTACAATTTACAATTCAAACAAAACTTTAGATATATTTTTTTAAATCAAGTTGATATGCTGGTCGTACATCAAAACTAATTTTGTCACTACAGCTCACTATACACAAATACAAAAAAAAGTGTTGACAACCAACTGAGAAGAGCAGTATTGTGCGAACAGCAATGCAAGAAAATTAAAGAATTACAAGAACAAGAAAGTTTGACCAAATGTATGAAACTATCATAGAGCCAACCACTATAAAGAATTTCAACATTGAATGTAAAAATTGGGAATCCATTGCATCTGACTAAAGCAAATGGAATCTCTATCTAAAAAATTCGACAAAACTTATCGAAGAGAAAAAAAAGATCAACTCAATCTGAAGAAGAATGAGCTACACTATGCAAGAGCATGGTTGTAAAATTCCGTTCTGTGTTTCGCACGTCTCAGGCCCATACCCAGATCCTTTGGATGTGCCTCTATATTCAGGGTTATTAATGATAAAGAATTGATACAGGGCGTACACTCAGTAGAAGTAGAAAACAATTAAAAGTAACTAAGAATATTATAAATATGTTGGAAATGACAACGTACTGAAGTAAATTTAAAGAAATCTGTTAAAGTGTTAGTAGTTCTGATGAATGACGCGTATGAGAAATAGTGGCCAGAAAAACAAAACAATTCCAAAAAAGACTCATTATTATCCATGTTTTTTTTTTTGTTATCCACATTATAGAGGGCTAATTTTAAATGCAGTTTTCCACTTGGTGAATTTATTGCACTACGCGAAAATTGTCGCAATGACCAAAAATCGCGTGAGCGCTTCTTCGTCTTTCTTTCCTTCACTACATGGGCGCGATAGGTTCTTTTCCCGAGCACTGGTTGGCTGGGTATTATTTCAAGAAGTTAAAAACTGTACGTTCTCTAACTCTAAAGTTCACTGATCCGGATACCGCTAACGATTAGCGCTAACCGATCGGGCGTTCTCACGCAGGTGCTAACGGTTAGCGCTAACGGTTAGCTCCCGATCCGGATACTAGGGCTCTCGTGAGAACCAGGATTGAAGCGAACCACCACAAGCGAAAAAGCGAACAATCTGGTGAAGAACTCGCGCATCAAAATTAGTTTGCGCATACGTACGGTCAAATGCTTTTGCTTCGCACGAATAAATTCGTCCGAATCTTGTTTTCCACTAGGCGAATTTATTCGCGCGAATCGAAAGCATCGGTACGCTTCCTGAGCCCTGGTCTTTTGCGCATTTTCCGCTTCGCAAAAACTCAGATAGAAAAGTGAATGCGCATGCGCAGGAACCTACGTGTTTGACTCGCGCGAATAAATTCGCCTAGGCGAATGTATTCGGAGAATCGAGAGTTTTTACACATACGCATGCACAATTAAGAAAATTGTGCGTATAGGCAAACATTTTCGATTCCCTCGAATAAATTTGTTTAAACGTTTACATTGTTTGTGGACAATGTATTTTAAACAATTTAAATTCTCTTATTTTTAAACATGAATTGTTCCATTGGCTTAAGATTTCCTTAAAATGTAAGGTTTCAAGAAAATCGCTCCATGCAGTGAGGAGATTTCTTTTATAGAATTCATCAAATGGTTGTTGTAACAGTTCAGATAGCGAAAGAGAGCAATTCGCTAAAATACAGTAATAATAATTATAATAAAGATTTATAAAGCGCACATCTCCACCAATGGTGCTCAAGGCGCAGTGTCAATTACACCACAAAATCCATAAAATTCCCAGAAGAATTTTAAGCAGAATACAAATACCAATTATCCCATCGAGGCAGTGTTGCCCCCCATATAAGTATGCGCAGATACTCAAAGGCAATAAGTTGAGCATCAGCACCTTCCACCCCAGGATAAGCCCAGGGCTCCACTACCGTGCACTGCAAAAGGAGCAACATTGCGTCGTCAGAGAAAAGTTTTATCATTTTTATTTTATTTTTTAAATAATATAAATTCAACAGAGAAATATCAAGGTTCTCTATACCAGGGGCGGATCCAGAAGTTTTTGTTGGTGGGGGGGGGGGCTATAGGTATATGTGTAAAGTGCCTCCAAGTGCCTGCGGAGGCTAGGTTTGGGAGGAGGTGTCTCCGTCCGATAAGATGGGGTTCAGAGGGGTAGCTGAACGCTTTAGCTAT